AACAGCTAAAACATAGCGTTTTTTCCTTGTAATCTGGCTGCAACAAAATGGAGCATACTTTGTCCGTGCTCATCCTGATAAACACCAAAACGATTTATTTCATTCAGGCTTATGTATAAATTAAATTTTATTTTTGTTTTTGTTCACAATTAGAATAATATCAATACAATACAATAAATATGAATACGAAGATATAATAATATGAATACAGTACAATAAATATGAAAACGAAGATATTATCAATGGCTTATCAGAGTTATCAGTGTTAAGGTTATAAACATTGGCAGATAGCAGTCGGACGCTACCCGCTATTAAACAAGTACCTGAAACTTACTTTCTAATGAAAAGGATATAGAGAGTTAAGTTCAATAATTTGTGTAAATTACTTCGAAAATAAAATTTTTGAGACATCAAGTGTATCAGGGAATAATGATCTGATCTAATCATTGAAGGCTACACGATCCTGAGGAAAAACTAATTTGGACTGACCTTTGTATAGGAAATAGCAGTAAGCGGTGTCGGGGAAAGGAATTATGGCTTAGAGAGCAGGTCAAAACGTATGGTTCTACTTCGGGTGGAAGAGGTTGGCTTAACACGATCGTAGTTACGGTTTCGTTTCCAATCCAATCTCTTCTTTCTGTTGCGGGATCTATTAGAATTGATCTTTCCGATGGAATGAGACCTACTTAGGTTCAAACTGATACATCACGTATGGAAAATACATACATTCGTTTCGTCGAAAAAACAATTGTTCAACCCTCAAACCTAAAGGAGAAACGAGGTTATCCAAATATGAATTAATCTAATCTTGATTTTAATTGGTGAAAATTATAAACCAATTAGGTCAAATGCTTCATTAGCTTTCATAAATGTTTCTTTGTTTTGTTTCGTAGCCTCTGTAGCTTTTGCTTCGTCATCACCGAGGGCAGGGAAGCATTGTATCCTGTTGGAGTTAAAAGAATGTGTAGTGAGAATCGAAAATTTCCATTCACGTTTTTTTCATTTTAACTATTAAAGAAGGAATTTGGTTCTACTTCTGTCTGTCTTGTCAGTCTGTAGTAAAATCCATATGATGGATTTACTTAATGTATCCATCGATGAATGCTGTGTACTAATCTCCCTCATGCCTAAAATGTCGATTTTCTTTACTCACATCTACTTATTGCCAAGATTATAACATGTGTGTATAGAAGTATGAAGAGAAAAAAAATATATTATCAAATGGATTATGATCCAGTTCAGTAGACTAAATTTCAGAAGGCTAAGAAATAAAAAAAAATAAATAAATGCCAAGGACGTTTCTTATTTTTTATTCGTCCTTAAACAGAACAGACTTTTCTCCGCATTTAAATTATCGTTTAAATTTCTTATTTTTTTGTTTGTTAATCATGTGTCATTTGACTTATCAATTTTATGTTTTTAATGCTCGTGTAATGAATTGTTTTGAAACATGTATGAGCTATCGCTTCTTGTTTTAACATTTCTAGTTAGAAGGTGTGTGCTCGTATGAATGATGTGCAAATATACATTTTTTTTATTTTATATGTATTTTTTTTCTTATAAGGATTATTCCTTTTATATATATAAGGTTCAAAACCATAATATTTAATCAGCTTCGGAATGAAAATATATTCAAATGATTATCCAAGTAACCTTCCTCCGTAAATGTAAACCAAATTTATTCGAAGGCTAATAAAGTATTTTCGTAACAAACTATTTACAAATAAGAATAAGAATAAGAATTACTTATCCTAATCTTATTTTTCGAATATCTTCATGTATTATCACACTGTCCAGAAGGTGCCCGCAAGGAGATTTCAAGTTTTTGCACCAAAAAAGTTTTTGAGCAGGGCACATTTTTACGAGGGTTTTAATTTTTTCCAATCAACAAAAAACATGATTTTCTTTTGTTATATAACATTTTTTATATAAGTTAAGGTCTGCTTTCACTCCAATAAATAATATTTCCCTCTACTTACGTGACACTCTTTATAATTATTTAAAAGCTTCCAGAATTGAGCCATTTGAACTTTTAGTCAAACATGTTAACTCTTTACTCAAAACATGCACAGGAATTGGTTCCCTTTTTTTGAATACCGTCCAATTTTTATATATTTTAATTTTAACAGGCACCTTGAGATCTCTGTTTTGTTTATCAATTATTGAATAGGCAGTGGGCAGAGGTTGACCAAAATCGTTTAGGAGTTTCGTGTCATGGCCTGCTAAATATTCACCGACTGAAGGTCGAAGAAGACGGGTCAATGCCTGGAAGACTTGGTTCCCATTGTTCGCCAGTGCCTTATATAGTCCACAATGACGGACGGAGTTGAGATATAACTGTACTGAAGGTAGTTGAAGTGCGCGTAGGCGGTCGACCTTTTATATTTGGTTAGCAACAAGATCCCGTTTTTCTCTTATTGTCCAAGTCCGTTTTAAAATAAATAGGCTCTGGTAGAAATAACCTGATCATTGTTCCAATCCAACTCTGTGGTTTGTCAAATTCTTTTCGTTACGGAATCATGTCTATCATATTAAAACCATTGGCATGTAACGCTAACAGGATTAAGTTTTTTAATTGTATAAATGTATAATTTTGCGTTCTTTATAGTTTGTAGTACATTAGTTATTCGTAAACGGGTAATTTTGAAAAGTTATGCAACATTTTAGTTCATAAGATTTCAGATAATTTTTTTTTCTGCTTTAATTTGGTTTTCTAATGCGTTCTTAAGCCTAGTAGACATTGTTGCGGGATTTGTCTATAGACCAGACCATCTAGAGACAGTCTTGAAACACGGTCTATAGACTGTCTAGAGGCATATTTTTTGCCTCGTCTAGCGTTCACACTACGATGCGAATTTCTGTCTCATCTTCACTGCTCACCATGGTAGACATAGTTTTGTGCGGAATCAGTCCTTGCTTAGTGCTAATTAAAAGTAAAGAAACGTGAAAATGTAGGCGTTGGTGGACGCGCAAAGTGCTCGTCGAAGAGCCTAGATTCAGTAATGCATTATTAAATTAATCAAGCCTGGGAGACCCCACGGTAATCTTCAATTAGTTTTAAAACGTTCTCCTTAAACCACAAGTTTTCAAAATAACTGTAAAATTTTGGAAACTTACTGTAAACATTCCAACCAATCACTCGGTATTTGGAGGCAGACTGGGACGTGTCTCGCCTTTAGACGCGGAGTGACGTCCCACACTGTCATAATGTTGCACAACATGTCTAAAGTTGCATGTCTCCCATTCCGTTCAAGAGGCGTTATACTTGCGATTTCTGGTCTCACAACAGGCGTGTAGACGGGGAAAGGTCTACAGACATTTCTATGTAGACAAACTGAGACATGTCTCACCAGAGAACAAAATCACGCAACATGTCTACTAGTGTGGAGTTGGCTTTGCTCAGCTAGCATAATCTCATTGTTGGACACTTATTAAAAAAAAAAAAATTAAATTAAAAAAAAAAAGGAATTCTAATTTGTCTCTGGAGTGTTACCGTTCATGAGTGAGACAAAGAACCGATCATAAGAAATCTTAAGAAAGGAACACTCAGGATCCATAAGTAACACTCGTGGCTTATGGTCATTTTGCTATTACTTTAATAAAGAATAATACAAAGTTGAGAAAATTAAGCTTTATTACCAACAGATAATAACTAAATAAGATACTATTATACTAATAAGCTTAACATGACTACAGTAGCAAAACAAAAAAAATATTAATTAAAAAAAAATATTATTTTAATGATAACTTATAAAGTAAAGTTAGTAAAGTTAGTTATAAAGTAAAGTATCCTCATGAATTAATACTATATCAACATTAAGTATATTCTTCTGGTATCATATAGATATTTTACTATGTTTTAACAAAGTAACACTTACGACAAACTTCTTTTTTTCTATTTATTCATCAAGCAAAAAATACATTTTGCCTCAATTAAGGGCATTAGTATTTGAGATGTAAAAGACTCATTCATAACATATATACAATTACAAAACAACAACGACAAAAAATGGAAAAAATATAATATAAGAAAGGAAAAAGAAAACTTAGTGAAACAGAAGAAATAAAATATGAGACAACATTAAATAAAATATAGAAAACACATTCTTACTTATTTACGATCTTTATAGTCAGCCGAGGGAGCTCTAAATCGGGCCCTTTCCCCCACGTGTGGAGGATAAGGCAAGACTCTAAGAGATCCCAGCCCTTCTCTCTCAGCCTCTTCACTGTGATAGGTATCGAGTGGAGACTGAGAGAGGGCACTAGAGCCACATACGCTCTCATTGGAGAAGCTGGCCATTGCCAGGACTCCAATGACGTGTTTACAAAAGATCTCGAGCCCACTGCTGTTTCAACCTTCTAGGAAGATTGTAGGGATGACTGGAACTAGATAAGGATTGTGCTAAGGGATTAGGATGATGGAGTCGGTTCTGATGAAAATTTGAGAATCGAGATGGGTCAAGGACATAGGGGATGTTAAGGTCATGATGTAAAGTTTTGTTTGTAACATAATAAGGAGCATTGACTATTGTACGAAGGACTTTAGATTGGAAGGATTGGATGTTCGAAAGTTTAGCTGTCTCCCATAGTTCAAGACCATAGGTCCAGATGGGTTTTAATTTGAGGTGTAAATTAATAATTTATTTTCTATTGAGAGATGACAAACTTCTATGGACAGATTTAAAAATTGCAGAAAATCTCTTCCACTCGGTAAATTATAAACCAGAATATAGTACTCCTATGTCACCACAACACATTTTTGGTATATTAAGATACGTTACACCATGTGGCCAACATTAATTATAAATTGTGAAAATTTCACTTTTTTTGAAATGTACAGCCGTCTACCCTTAGTATGTCAATTGTTTAAATGTTTCTGACAATATCATTCGTTCTTTTTGACTTGACTTCTTAGAAATTGATGATTGAGTTGATGAAACTTCTCAACCAGATGTTCAAACCTAATCGAATCCGACTAATGGCTTTAATGTGTTCCGACGATGCCGACCACCTGGGAGGCTGAGGCGGGTAGGTGGTGCATTCGAAATGAACTTCGTCATTGGCAATCTATCGGCTGTGGGTGTCAGAACTATGGATTAGTAAAAGCTGACTATCTAATCAAGGGACATCGAGAAATATTTATCTGACTTAAAGGACGAAATTCAATAAATCCAACGAATTTCAAACGTGTTATTTCTGTATTTAAACAATAATAGAGTGTGAATGTGCCCTCTGTAATATTTCTCATTAAATATAAAATTTATGAAACGAAATAATACATATTATATGTTTTTATTATTGAAATTTATAAGTGTATTAAATAATAAGTACAACAAGTAAATATGACATGTACAACATGAAGAGAAACTACCCATTGGTAGCACTCCAATTATATTTCTATATTAGAAGGTCCCTAGGCCATCATATTTTCAGACACCTCGGACGGTTATCAGGAATAGAAGAGGAAGCAAGGTTGGAAACAAGAGGGTTAGGCTGGTTCAGAAGTTTATTATGGAAGGATAGGTATATGGATTGAGCTAAATCGGAAACATATGGGACATTAAGGTCGTTATGGATGATTTTTATGGGAGCATTGAGGATTTTGCGAAGGATTTTGGATTGTAGGGATTGGATACGAGATCGATTTGATGCTTTAGTAGAGCCCCTAAGCTCGATCCCATAAGTCCAAATTTGCCTTATTATAGTAATATATATATGAGTCTTTTGTAAATGGTTGGAAGTTTAGAGCGTTTGTCTAGTAAGTGCTGCAATAGTCGAAAACGTCGGGCGGTTTCTAGTCGTTTCAGTATGGTATGGGGTGGTTATATAATAAATTTAAATATTTTTTTTTTATTATTCATGAAATTTACAAGTGTATATAAATAAATATACATTCAGTAAATGTGATACAGAGAGATACATGACATGACAAGCCATGGTGACGCATTGGTAGCACGCTAATATAAAAATAAATAAATTTGATGTTGTTTTTAAACTTGTAATTCTTGTTAACACCTTTCAAATATAGTATTAACAATCAGTGAATTAATCCATCGTAATAAAATTGGAAGAACAGAGACTAGTGGAGATTTGAATTTAAATTTAATTATTTACCTAGGACTCCATCTGTACAAACGTCTAACTTGGAATCGTCATACCAGACTGAAACGACAAGAAACTGCTCGACGTTTCCGCTTTTACTCCAACACTTACTAGACAAACGCTCTAAACTTCCAATGAATTATAAAAGACTCATATACATGATTATAATAAGACCTATTTGCACTTATGGAGTTGGGCTATGGGGGTATAACCCAAAATCCTTCGTAAAATGCTCAATGCTCCTTACTTTGTTACAAATAAAATCCTCCATAATATCCTTAATGTTCCTTATGTTTCAGATTTGATCCAATCTAGATACCTATCCTTCCATAATAAACTTCAGAATCATCCCAACCCTCTCGTTTCTAACCTTGCTTCTTCTTCAGTTTCTGATAACCTTCCGAGGCCCTGTTGTCTAGCGTTATATTTTTGTGTATATTATCCTTAAAGAAAGAGATATTCGATTAGACATTTTTAAACTGTTGATGTGAGATTTTTTCGTTCTTGCCTCACATATGTTGCCTCACATAACAAAAAGTTGACTATTTTTGTCATAATTAAGGTTTTCAATTGGAATTTTTCTCTAAAACCCTTACAATCATCTGTGTTTCTTTTCTTCTTTTTTACCCCCATCGGTACATTATATATTTATTATTTTTGAGCATATAAACAATTAAAAGAGCCTTCTAGAGTGAGAGAAGAGAAAACCTCGTACACTTGACCTAGCCGGCAGTTCCTTACTGGGAACTGACGGGTGATTCTGACTGTCACAGACTGGACGTGAGATGGACATAATGAACGCCAGTGGGTGAGCTTTAAGGAAACTTGATTAGAAATCCGGATTTCTCCAGCGTCATTGTAGATGGACAGATAGCGTGAGGGTGTGGTCAAGGTGTGTATATGTATGTATATATATATATATATATATATATATATATATATATATATATATATATATATATATATCGAAAAATAATACTGTTACAATCAAAGATCCACCTTGGGATTATCAGGTCAGTGAAATGTTCTCAAACATTATAACATCTCTTTTATTTCTTCTTAGAATTAATTATCTACATTAATATTGTTTTAACATTGCATTAATATTATATTTTTATTTTATTGAGTATTAATACAGTCTGCCACACTGAAGGGCATTGGTACTAGGGCTATAGTATTCATTCACACAATATGTACATACGAAAGGAAAAAAACAAAAAAAGTATATATATATATATATATATATATATATAAAGTAATATGAAAGATAAATAAAATAACAGATTACCCGAATAATAACAAAATAAATAAAACACAATCACACCTCATATTATATTAATGCTAAACTTTTCAGAGACCTCCACTTGAGGTTTTGTTGAGTTGAAAAACAAGTTCTTTTGGTTTTGCTGAGTGAAATACAATCGGTGCATTTATAGATATAAAATTTATTTTACTTCATATTGTATTGATCTTCCTCAATGCCACGTTCCTAAAACGCTTGAATTTTATTGAAAACAAATTATCTAAGTGTTTTTTTTTAGTTTCGGAATTGCATTCGATTCATAGAGTGGTAATAGCTTCGAGTCTGTTGAATAGGGAGGATGCGGCGAAAGGTTCCATCCAAGGCTTAATAAGTGACCCGAGAGACATAGAGGTTGTCTTGCTGTGTAAAAATACATCCGAATTGTTTGATCCAGTGTGGTTAATTTTGAGCAGTACAGTCGTGAATCGATAGTTACTTCTGATGAAAATAACTTATAGAAAATAACACACTTGAAATTTCACTTTATGTAAAGCACCAACTTTGGAAGAAATCCCAATTTTGACGGTTTTTAGAAATGGTTTTGTTGTCGTTTCCGTTGTGGATCATAAACGGAAATGCGTGTTGTAAAGTGGACTTCAGTTAGAGAATGAGGGACCTAAACATCAATCGTGGATATGTAGCCGAGCTTGTGCAAACGGTTTTCATTGGGTCATATCACTCTCTAGCGCTGATTGGGAAAGATTTTGTTTAAAAATGGCCTTGACGTAGCTCGTTTCAATTTCTTGTGGGTAACCAAACTTTTGATTTTTGTTTTTTGTTTGCCACTTCCTCGCTTTTTAGGCTAAACGGAGTTTTCCCGAGTCAGGGAGGTGAGGGAGGGATATTAATGCCAAAGTTAAAAGCCCCCCTCGGCATCGGGTTGTGAACTTCTAACTATTTTATCATTCATAACTTCGGTGGAGCATCATTGATGCCAAAATTTCCTGATCGAAAAAAAAACAGATTCAGTTTTAAGGCGTGCGGTTGATTAAGGCTTCATCCCCGTAAAGAATGTACAATTTAAATAATATCCTGCAGCACACTTATCCTTTTTAAAATAATGTAGCAAAATATGCTATATAAAATAATATGATTGATATCTTCCATTTCCACAGTCCAATATAAAATACAATATTAATCTAATTTTAAGATTAGTTGACAAATAGAATAAACAAACCACATTAGGGATAAATTCGTCAGATAAGAAGTGTATGATTTATGGTATTTTATGACCTAAAAATAAACTGAAAGTACATATTTGCCAACCCAATACTTGACTTATAGTCTTGAAGTTGTTTTAAACCCCACCATAGATTTTAACTTAAATTCATCGTATAATTTTCAGTTTTGTGCGGTAGGATACAAAGAAGGGGGAGATATAGATTGCTTTTGGATGTAATGTTGAAATTTCAGTGTGTGACATTGCCGTTTATTTCGTTTTAAAGTGTGGCTTACATTGTGGCTTTCTCAGCCGACAACTAGAAATTCTCCACAAAGGCCGCAGTAAGCGAATCTCGACTCCACCCTTGACCCCAGTAGCCGCCTGTAAACCACCCATAACTTTCTCCACACCACGCCCTTGTCACAGCCTTATCTCTCACGCAACCACATGGTACCATCGTCCGCAAGCCTGCTTCAACTGCGTCTTTGTCTCCTGTAAAGGGTAACGTTTCTTATCTTTCGATCTTCACGTTCTGCAGCTATTCTTTTAAATAAGATTCCTTGAGAGGAATCTTGTCCGGCTTGGTGACAATGAATTTTATGCGATATCCATGTAAGGACAAAAACTTCTGGTTCCTAATTAGTACTACTCAGGTCAATTTTAATTCATAATAGTTATCCACTTATTACAACACTCCGGAAACAAAGGAAAAATTATGTATATTGAAAATCAGCAGTCAGTACTTCGGAAAATTTAGTTTGAGAACGTCTTGCATAGGCTATTTCACCAGTTGTGTCTACCAACGCATAACAAGCATGCATAAGAAACTCTTTTTTGACTACTCACGGATTGCATATTTTTCAATGATTTCCTGAGGCGGATTGAACGCTATGCGTATAGTAAGCGGCCACGTAGGGCTTCGCAATTTAAAATATGTTAACGTTAATATTTTCGAAGTGACCGGAAAGGGCCTGCAGAATTTGTAATGCTTAGCGCACCACTTGTCTTATGCGCCCCTGATAATGTCAGCTGTATCGTTTCTCGGATAAATCCTGAAACCATTTTCTGCTTTTCGCCAATATAATGCATACTGCGATGTAACGAATGCAATGTCACACTTGATATAATAGACGGTGTAACGTTATACTTGAAGGGAAACTCGATGTTGCTAACTAGCCTTCAACTGGCAAGCTCATTCCACTATCCCTGACCCCAGGATATTTTTTCGACCGTTCCGAAAAGCGAGACATAACTGTGTTTAGACAGTCCGTATGCAGGCGTATCACATGGCAATTACCATAATACTATTACTCGAATCCAGTTAGCACATATGGTCTGCTGTACAAACTTCTTTTCATCAAATTATTAATATCCGTCTAAAACTTTGTAAATGGCTTCTTCTTATCGTAATACACTATTTTTATATTTACAAAAATTCTTGGAATTGGGGCATTTTCAATCTGGAGATCGGTAAACTTTATCTATTTAATGAGGTACTCACTCATTTCCTTTCTACTAGAATTGTAAGATGATTCGATCACGAAATTGAGGGGAAAGGTGGTCTACAAAAATATTGGGCCGTTTTGCCTAACCCCCACTCCCAACTTGTCGAAATTAATATCAACTGATAGTATGAATTCATTATTGGCTATTAAAAATAATAGCAATACAGACAAAAATATCATTTTAGCTAGCCTAATTATAGAATACTTTCATGCTATAAAAAATAAAAAGCAAATAATGTTTATGCAGTCCAAAGCACACATGGGAATTCCTTGTTTTGTTTTTTAAATTGAATCAACCAAAAGATATAGTACAAATTTTTTCTTGACTTAGAACAAATCAGGGATTATGCAATGTGAATCTTCAGCGTATCGGAGCTAAAAAACTCTGCTTGTTTAGGCAACTTTTCAAATTAAGGCAAGACAAATAACTATCATGAGTTCTTAATAAGCAACATTCTACTTTTATGCAGTGGACTGTATTTTAATGGGTTGGTGGGTTATACTGATTGTGCAAAAATAGCTTACCATCTTTATGCCACCTTACAACACTGCTAAATGTTATAAATGTAATCCGAAAGAAACCCTCCAGCATATAATTATAGAATGCTCTACTGCTTATAAAAATCAAAGATAAAAATTTCTTAGTTTTCTAAATCCTTATAATGACAATATATATATATAAAACTATTTACATCCAACAATCCTCAGGAAATCATAAATGTCACGCAATACAAAAACAAATAAATTTCGAATGGGAGTGGTAAATAATAGAAATAAAAATAAATTATACCATGACTGCCTGTATGGAAAAATCCGAATAAAAAAAAATAATAATAATGAGGTTATGTAAACCAAATGACCCAATATTTTATAGACTTTTATCGAATTTGTGATCAAATTATATTACAATTTAAGTGGAAAGTAAATGGATATTCATGAGATCTTAATTAAATAGTTCTTTTAATTAGAAAACGCCCCGTTTAAGAAAATTTTCTTTGAAAAAAAAATAATTGTAGATAACCATAAGATGAAGTCATTCACGAAGTTTTAGAGGGATGTTATTAATTTGATAAAAAGAGTTGTACACCGCCGAATAGTAGCAGGAGCCCAATTTAACTGTAAATTTACATAACATACATCTGTACAAACAATAACTCCCTTACGATGTTCGTTCTCATATGAACTATGAATTCGGTAGTAGATAAAATAATCAATTTGCTATTTTGTCTACGTTTGCATGGCCCATTAACTTTCCTACGCGGGTATATTTATCTTTTGTCTATTATTGATCGCTTCCCCTTTTGAACAGAGGTCGTTACTCTAGTTAATATTTATTCAAAACATTGTTTGAATCTAGTCGTCCCTTAGCTCGTGGATTTGTTGTACTGTTTGTCACCATTTGTCATAGAAAAATCTTACTGACAGCTAATAAGGCACTGATTTAACCTTCTCTGCTTACCATCTAGAAGCTAATTGACAATTTATACCCTTACAACAAGTCAACCCTGAACTCCTGGGTCAAAAATTAGTATTTGTCTTTTTTCGTGTCCAATCGTACCTACTTCTTCACAACGGATTCTAGACGACACAACTGTTGATATTAATACTGTGGACAAAGCAACCTGTCTGTGGATTTTTATCAAGGCTTCAGTCAGAATTTCTTCAAATTTGGGTCAAAAAGAGAATTTCAACAATCTACTTAGTCATCCACTTTTCTAGTTACACTCATAGGGATGCTAAAAATCCCAACCTGGCATCACAGGTGGATCTATGTGGGGAGGGGGCTTTCAGGCTGAAGCCTCCCTTCCCAAAAATGGTAAAATATAACCATGCTTTATGAAAAAATCGCTATAAGTATTATTGTTGGTCTAATTACATGTTATTACAGGACTTGAAGAATCATCTGAACACCATTTCATATTGATACTTAGTTTATTTCTTTCTTCCGAAATAATTATCGTAATATATACTTGCAAAAAAAAATCTTTCGGGCTGAAGCCTCCCTCCCCAAAAATGGTAAAAATATATCCATGCTTTATGCAAAAATCTCTAGAAGTATTATTGTTGGTCTAATTACATTTAATAGGACTTGAAGAATCACCTGAACACCATTTCATTTTGGTACTTAGTTTCTTTCTTTCTTCCAAAGTAATTATCGTAATATATAACTACAAAAAAAAAATCTTTCGGGCTTAAGCCCCCCAAAAATTAAATCCTGAATCAGTTAGTGCCTGGCATAATGGTCCCTACCGTGTTAAGGTTTTTTCATGATGACCCCAAAACAAGAAAAGAAATTTCCTCAATGGATCAGTAATAAGATAAACCAGAAGAAGAGCCACGATTTGGACAACAAACTTGCCAAGAAATCGAAAGGAATAAAACAAAACTGATGGATACTTAAAGAGGAGATAAATCTACTACTTGAAATTTTATTTTTAAATGCTATATGAGTACAAAGCTCCTTTACATAGTTTCAATGAATTTAAATATAAAACAATTTTGTTTAAAATAATGCTTATTACAGACAGTAATATTAATGTGATCTTGCTAAATGGAACCGCTACTATAAAACTTTCCATTGTAACAGCATTAGAAGTGTTGAGAGGGACATTCATTAGCCACCAGCCTTGGATAGAGTTGTCGTTAATTTTAAGAATAGGTCATGGTTTCAGCTGAGATAAATGTGTTCCTTAATTCGTCCACTATTTCTGATAGCTTCATTTTAGGATTAGGTGGTCTCAGTTATTAAAACTCCATTTCGTTTATACTTTTTTGAAATATATTTCTAAAAACGTGTTTAGAACTATCTGAAAACCTACTTTTTGATCAATAAAAAATTATTATACATTCATTTCGTTAAATTTATTTCTAGAATAATCGGTTTTAATATGGTAAGTTGCAATTCGTTGTTTCTTACTCGATTTTCTCATCAATATGTAAGTATAAAATATTTTTGATTAATTTACTTTTTTTTTAAATGCCTCTTGTATTTATATAGCGTTCTAATTGAATAGATATGAGCTATGTTCTGCGGGTAAACATATATCCACATGCAGAATTTGATTTAAAACGATTATGCTCTATCTTATTTAAATAAAACACCTGAGAATTTTCTATATATAATAAAGACGTGTAAATGTACACATCTATATTATATATGTAAACAGTGTAAAAAAAACAAAGTGCATAATTTTTTTGCATAGGCGGGGAACCGCACAAATGAAAAAGGTTCTTCACCTACGATTGTATCTATATTAATTTTTACACTGTTAAAAGGATAATTATTCATTCTGAAACTTTTTTCCCTCTACTTAATTATTGTTTAAGCAATAAAATTAATGTATATTTTTGTTCTCGTGAAAAAAACTGAATTTTTACTATTTTTCCCTGACCTCTTCATATATATATATATTTTTTTTTTTTGTCTTTTTTTGCTTATGCCGACGTAATTATTATAGCTTTAAACTTCTCCTTTGGACTTTTAGAATCTTTAGGGTGTCATTTTTGTATTTAGCAGTTTAAACTTGAAAAAATATTTATTTATGCAGGTATAATCTTCATTAAAAAAAAAACACCTTTTTGCAGTAGTGATGGACACCATGAATTTCCTGTCATGAATAGTCCTGACAATGGACAGGAGGTCGGTACCGCTAATAAACATACCTAAAGAAAAATTCCAAATTTTTATTTAACTATAAAGATAACGATAAATATGACATAAAATAAATGTTCAACTTACACTTAAGCAAAACTGTTATTTGGAAGATATTAAGCAAACTGATCTCAAGAGAACTATAGAAACAACAATGATAGTATTAAAATTTTCTTTTGGGAACTTTGTTCATACATTTCTCAGTAGAGGGCATTGTTCTTCAATCTATAAAAAATGAAACATTTAAATCAACAAGGGAGCTTATTATTTACATTTAAAGTCTAATCTGTCCATAACTGGTCCCCCTGAACATAGCTGATGGCGTTCATCCTAACTTTAAAAATTGGT